TGGTCTCTACAGTCACTTTTATAACTCATGGAAAGAGGTAGCTCCTCTGATATGAGTCAATCAGTCAATCAACTTGAGTTTTATATGTCTTATTAGCAAGGCACCATTGGGCATACCCAGTGCTCCCATAGGGAATTCCCCTTCAGTTGCCTACAAAGACCTTTGCTTTTTCATATCATCAGGTTGATTGGGGGAACTCACCATATAGATAATCAGGGATTTCCTTCAATCACTCCTCTCTATAGAAGGATATCTCCATCCCCCAATCCCCATCTTCCATCTTAGGAATCAATAGCCTAATCAGTTCTCCAGTTCATAAACCTGTAATGGCTAGTGAAAATTCACTTATTGTTAGCATCATCTCAACAAACCCCATTAAATAAAAGGCCTTTCATGAGAAAGCTAGTTGACACAGTGGATAGTATTGGACTTGGAGTCAAGAAGATCTGAGTTTGAATTGTGACTCAATCATTTATTAGTTCTATGATCTAGAATAAATCATTCTCTCTCTCTCTCTCTCTGCTCCAGTTTTCTCATCTGTAAAATGGGGGTAATGATAGTACTTTTATTTGTTTAGTCAAAATGAACTGTAGGTTCATAAAAAGAATTGGGTTCATTTCTTTGGGAACTTTTGAAAAGAGAACCTAGGGTATTTGGGAGGGTGGAGTAAATCTGATAGGAAAACAAAAGCCTCTATCTCCTAGTACTACTATGTGCTATCTTTTTTCCTTAATATAGTAAGACACAGGGGCAGCTGGTTGGTGCAGTGGAGAGATCACCAGCCCTGGAGTCAGGAGAACTTGAGTTCAAATTTGGCCTCAGACCAAACACTTGACACTTACTTGATGTGTGACCTTGGGCAAGTCACTTAACCGCAATTGCCTAGAAAACAAACAACAAAAAAAGAGAATAAAAATATAATAAGGCATATTCCTCAACAGATTAATGCTCAAAGTATGTGAACAAATAATTTTCAAAAAAAGAACTTCAGATTATCCACAACCACATAAAATGCTCAAAAATCACTAATAATAAGAAAAATGAATATCAAAACAACCCTTTGGTTTCATCTCACACCCTGCAAATTCCAAAAAGTAACAACAATTATTACTGAAAGACCTGTGAAGACATAGGCATGCTAACATATTGTTGGTAGATCTGTGAAATGGTACAACCATTCTGGAAAGCAATTTGGAATTATGCAAATAAAATGACTAAAATGTCCGTACCCTTTGAGCCAGAGACTTCATTACTGGGATTATACCCCAAGGGAGCCATTGATTAAAAAAAAAAAGTCTCCATGTACTGCAAAATATTTATAGCAACACTTTTTGTGATAGCTGAGAGTTGGAAACAAAGTAGATGCTCATCAATTGGCATTTGGGAATGGCTGAACAAATTGTGGTACATGAATGCAATGGAATATTACTATACTGTAAGAAATGATGGGTGTGATGAATGCATGGAAACATGGAAAGATCTACATGAACTAATGCAGTGTGAAATCAGCAGAGCCAAGAATACCATACACAGACCTACAACAATGCAAATGGAAAGAACAATAACACACAAAACCTCAAAGCTAAGTGTGGCAAAATTATAAAGATTAAGTATGACTTAAATGAAGAGATATGAGAAGACAGTCCCAATCTGCCTCTTCATGGAGGTGATAGGTCCACAAGAGCTACACATTGCAGTTTTTGGACTTTTTCAATGTATCGACTGGTTGTGCTTACTTTTTTTTTCTTCTCTAAAAAATACTATTTGTCGTATGGCATGGCCTTGTGGGAAAGGGAAAGGGAAGGATGCATGGGATACATGGGTAATGTAAGAAACAGAAAATATCAAATAGAACTTATTTTAAAATATAACAAGGCACTTTGTTTCAAATCCTTCATTTATCCATTTCTGGGATTTAGGGTAATTTCCACACACACTGGGATTGTCCAGTTAGGTTTTATACACTGAAAGGCTCCCCTTCACCTCAGAAAACAATTATCCCTTCAGTTCAGAGCATAATCCTTGCTTTAGTGGTTGCTAAGCAGTGAGAATTTAGCTAAACAAAGCCCTGCATGCTTCTGAAGAAGCAACAGATGGTATGTTGCTAAGCCCCAGGGGGTTCTTATTCACCAAAGAAGATAGTCTCTAGGAAACTCATGAGATATGAGGGGAGCAATCATTCAAGGTTTGAATAGCATTTGTGTCCCAGCTGTCCTTTCAGGTTAAGTCTGCAGAATGTCACTCAGCCATCAAATGCCAAACCAGTCATTAATCTCTAGGTCAGCCAGCTGGATCCATTCATCAGCTTAGTATGACCTGATGTAGGAGGAAGGTACCGTCAAAGAGTTTCTCATTGCTTGAGTCCACTATTATCTTTCTGTGCTGATGCTCCTCTTCCTTTCGTTTCCTTTCCTTTCATTTCCTTTCCTTTCCTTTCCTTTCGTTTCCCTTCCTTTCCTTTCCTTTCCCTTCCCTTCCCTTCCCTTCCCTTCCCTTCCTTTCCTTTCCTTTCCTTTCCTTTCCTTTCCTTTCCTTTCTTTCCTTTCCTTTTTCCTTTCCTGTGCCCCATCTCTCAGTCACTGAACTGCTTTGTCAAGAGGTGGCTTGCTTGGATCCCTTCTATTCTATTTGTCCTGCCACCAGCACTGTCCAGAAGGCTAGATTGTATGGTGCACATCGAGCCTAGACTTGAAGCCAGGAAGATTGGAGTTAAAATCCTGCCTCAGACACTTACTAGTTTTGTGACCCTGGGCAAGTCTTTTAATCTCTTTGACTAATCTCTAAAATTCATTTGTGAGTGATTTTTATCACCCACAAAATGAAAATAATAACAACATTTATGTAATGCCTACTATATGCTACCTCTGTTAGGCAATTTGTGATTATTATTCTCATTTTATCCTCACCACGACCTGGAAGATAGGTGATATTATTATCCCCACTTATAAATGAGGAAATTGAGGCAGATTGAGGTTAAGTGACTCAACCAAAGTCACACAATAAATAAGTGTCTGTGAGGCCAGATTTGAGCTTGGGTCTTCTGGATGATAATACTATCTACCTGACAAGGCCATGGCAAAGCTCAAATGAGGTACTTTATGTAAAGTACTTTGAAAACTTTAAAGCACTATGTAAATATTGGTTATTATTATCATTATCTTAAAGCAGATTCTCATGACTTTATATCTGGATCGCCATGATGGAATGCTCCCTGTCATCTCTATCTTCAGACTCCAGGTTTTCTAGTATTGTTTCAGTAAAGGACAGAATTCACTGATGGGTGTTTGACCTGGCTACAGTCAATAACTTTGGGTCTAGGGTCACCAGTACTTAGCAAAGCAGGATAAAATGAGAGCAGAGCACCTTTACTCTAGGATGAGGAATAGCATGCTTTTCATATATATATATATGAATACCTAAATCTCGCACTGGTTTGTTCCTCCCTGCATTAGCTGACATTGCCAGACCTCATTCCATTACTTATCTAAGCCTGTGATATTTGCCAGACACCTTTTGCTAAGACATCCAGTTCTGGGTGATGACTCCTTGCAATGCATCTAGCTTTTGACTTCTTGACAGATCTCCATAAAATATCACTTTCAACATCCATTACCTAGGATTGTGCAGTGGCTTCCTAATGTATCAAACCTCAATTTCTAAATGATTTTCAAGTTTTCCATAATCTAGCCTTGTTCTGCCTACCCAACATAATTTCCCACTGTTCTCCAATATATACCTTCTGTTCTAATTATTCCTAACTTCATCATTGTTTATCCACCAAACACATATTCATCATAGCACCATGTTCATTCCTGCCTCTTAAACCCCTTCTCTAGAATGCCTTATATACCTTATTTCTTAATTTCTACCCATCTAGATACTAGCCATACTTCAGGGCTGTTGCAAAACTCAGACAAAATCAATGTAAAATCTTCTGTTTGGCATTTAGAACACTTTACAAGCTGGCCCCTTCTTACATTACACTTTGCTCTCCTCCATGATCTATCTACGCTGGTCTTTGTTGTCATTCTTCATACATGACACTGCATCTCCTTGTCTTCTATGCCTAGGATGCTTCCCTCTTTGCCTCAGCCTCTTAGTTTTCCCTGGTTTCTTTCAAGATTCAGCTTAAATCTTACTTTTTGTAAGAGGCCTCTGCTGGTCTCAATATAGCCTACAGTATTTTCTCCTTAGCATCTTCCCGTCCAGAGTTGTCTTCCAGCTACTCTGTATATATCTTATATGTCCCTAGTTATCTAGATATTGTCTCTCCATTAGACTGTAAACTCTTTGAGTACAGGGACTGTCTTTACTTTTTTTTATCCCCAGCACTTAGCATAGTACCTGGCACATAGTAAATACTTAATAAATGATTTTAGACTTAATGATATTTGGCAAATCTTACAAAGTGCAATATAAATGCTGTCCCAGTCATACATGAATCCCACCTCCACCATAAAGTAATCACCAACTCCTCTAGCCCACAATAATATATCTTGTCTCTGAATCCCATTGTACAGCCACTTTAACCCTGTAATTGTTCTCTAATTATTATACACATAATAGTTTTGTTTCCCAAATTAAGCTCAATTCCTTAATGTAGCAGCATGGTGTAGTGGAAGGAATGCTAGATTAGGAGGCCGAGGATATGAGTTCAAGTCCGTTGACTATTGATAACCTGGGTGACTTCACATCTGTGGGCCTTGATTTTCTCATTTGGAAAATGAAGGGTTGGATTAGAACCTGTCTAAGGTCTCTTCCAGCTACAAGCCTATAATAGCATCTACCTCATGAGGTTGTGAGGATAAAATGAGATAACAAACAAAAAGGATTTTTTATACTTTGAAACACTATATAAATGCAAGCTATCATTAGTATTTTCCTCTGCATCAACATAGTTCAGGAGCCACTCCTTATACTCGTTTTTTTAATCCCTCACAGTGCTGGGCACATAGATGCTGAATCCATTTTCATGAAAGTGTTATTGATTTTTGTCTCAGTACAGCCTACAGTTTTCATGAGCTACCAACTCTCTGAAGGCCACCTGAATGTCACCTGCTCTGCCACTGCACGGCCAGCCCCTGTGATTTCCTGGAAGGTCGGGCTAGAGGTGCCGAATAGCGTTGAGAGCATCATTCATCCAAATGGTACCACATCAGTCACTAGCACCCTCCACATCAAAGACTCTGAGAACCATCTGGGAAAAAAGATATTCTGTAATGTGGATCACATGAATAATAGGTTGGAATACAACGTGATCCCAACCAAAGATGGCGCAGGTAAAGATGCCCTTGCTGAACACTTCTAAGGAGGGACAGGGTGAAAAGAGAGAATAGAATAAAGGGGGGGGGGCAGGATAGGATTTAGGGAAATATACTTAGTTTTTCACAACATGACTACTATGGAAGTGTTTTGCATGACTGCACATGTATAATCTGTATCTAGTTGCTTGCCTTCTCAATGAGGGTGGGTGGAGAGGGAGGGAGAAAATTTGGAGCCCAAAGTTTTAAAAACAAATGTTAAAAAATTTTTAAAAAAATTAAAAAGTAAAGATGCCCTTGCTGGTGTTTGTATGACACATAACCAGTTAGCGTCATTCTTTGTTTCTTTATTCCTCATAGAAAAATAGAGATTAGATCCCCCAGGAAAAAAAGAGATAGGTAACAGGATGAGGGAGCATGGGAGAATACTTTACAGATACTTTAGTCATATGTGAGCATTGTGCCAGATACTACCAACAACCTACTGGTTGTTGTTCAGTCGGGCCCGACTCTTCGTGACCCCATTTGGGGTTTTCTTGGCAAAGATACTAGAGTATTTTGCCATTTCCTTCTCCAGCTCGTTTTACAGATGAGGTAAGTGAAGCAAACAGGGTGAAGTGACTTGTCCAGGGTCACAAAGCTAGTTAAGTGTCTGAAGCTGGATTTGAACTCAGATCTTCCTGACCCCAGGCCCTCTGTCCTCTGAACCATCCAGCTGCCTATCGGTACCAAAAAAAAAAAAAAAAAAAGGTTCATATTACTTTTTGTAGCAATCTCTCAAGGGGAAATATGATGGAAATTACAAGCATACACAAATTACATGCAAATTAAATGCAAAGTAATTTGAAGGGGGAGCCACTAGAAACTGATGGATCATGAAAATTCACACAGACAAAGGTACCTGAGCTGGGCTTTGAAGGAAATTTGGGATTCTAAGAGGGAAGGAAGATGTTTCTCTGCTCCAGCATCCCAATGGCAACCTCTCCACGTATGTCCTTGGTTCTCCTGAGCTGGTGCTAGGAGTATGCAAGGGGAAGACCTCTAGTTTGATCTGTTTCGCTCCATTTTGCACCCTGTGAGTGGTTAGGCCAAATAGACCGTGTAGCTGGGCCCCAGCACTAATGACATACCTTGGTAGGGGATGTAGGCCCCTCACCATAGCAAATGGCCCAAAGTGTTGACTCCAGGTCCTCTTCCAAAACCAAACACTAACTAGGACTTCTCCAAGGGGTAATAGAGAGTCAACCAAAAGGCAAGTTTCAGAAGGACCCCTTTAGACATTCAGACTGTCTCCCTTCCAGAGTCTACAAGTGCTTCTTCCCTTTCTTTCTTTTTTCTTTTTTTATTAATTTATTTTGATTGATCAATAATCACTTCCATATGTTTTTGAGTTTAAAATTTTTCTCCCCCTTCCTCCCCATCACCCTCCCCAAGATGGCACACAATCTGATATAGGCTATACATATATATTCCTATTAAACATATTTTCACATTAGTGATGTTGTAAGTAAAAATTAGAACCAATAGGAGGAACCACCAGAAAGAGGAAACAAAACTCAACAGAATAGAAAAAAAAATAGCAAATAGTATGCTCCAAGCCTCTCCTCTTTCTTGATCCCTGGGAAGTCCCAAGAACTAAAACACAGGATTTCTAGCATTTAGAACTAACACCCAGAGATTATTTGCTTATTGTGTATCTTTATGTGGATACAGAGCTTCCAGTTTTGTTTCAAACTATAAAACTTGGAACAAGATTCCCATGGAGCCTCCATTTATAGGCATACACAGAACTGGAAAGGATTGTCCCTCCACCTCCATTTTACAGATAAGGGAACAGTCTTGGAGGAGATCAGTGATTTGTCCAAGGTCACATAACTAGCAAGTGATGGAGGCATGATATGAACCATTTCTGGTTTTCATGGTGAGTGACCTTGACATACTGGAATATCACTTAGGGAATCCCTGAGCTTCACTTAGTTGGAAATGAATAAGTACAAAAATTTTGCCGTGATTCATTCAGGTGCAAAGCAGAGTATTAGAGCGGGGCAGTACAGAGTGACCACTTCAGTCACCCCAGTCAAATGGTGCATTTTGCTTTAGAGTAAGGTCATGGAAAAATATTTTCACATACTAGAGTCCTAGAATTGTATCTTATTCTCAAGAAATTCAAAATTTGAATTTGAAATAGAACTTTAATATATATATAAATGTATATCTATATATATCTATATATACATACATATATATACATAAAAACAATTTTTGAGTTAGAGGACAGAACATATGGTGAGAAAGGAAATGTTTCCAATAAAATTAAAACTGTGTATGTGTACCTTTCTCCATGTTTTGTTTGAGTATCTGACTCTTGTTTATTTTATTCCCCTTATCATCCCTCCCCTGTTCCCTGCAGGCCTTCATTTTTCAGTGCCTATATTTGTGGGTATTCTTGTGCCTGTAGTGATTCTGCTGGCCTTGATTTCTATCTTATTCTACTGGAAATATTGGCGCCAGAGTAGAGGTGAGTTGTGGGGGGAGGGATTGTAGAAAAGAAGGAGACAGTGAAAATAAAAAAGTAGAACCAACTTGTTTTGGGAGAACATGCGATTAGATATTCAAGAGATGGTAAAGTTATGTTTTACGTATCCATTTCAAAGTCTATCAATGGGACTTTTGGGTCACATGATCAACCAGATGGAAGACTAGACATTTGCTCCAGTCCTCAAGACCTCTCAAAACTGCCCCAAATAAGGTATATTCAAGAAACAAAATAAAATCTCCACAGGCCAAGACACCAAGAAATTTGACTAAGAAACAATTCGATAAGCTAACAGCAGAACAGCCTAACCTCTAACACTGAGCATGCCCACTCAGTCACAATACTCTGGCATGGCGACACAACCAGACCCACAGATTTGTGTTCTGGGATCCACTCAGCAATTTGCTGAGGACTGAAGTTTCTGTCATCCTGTCCTGTCCCTGAGGTCACTCCCCACCCCTACCCCACCTCCCATTCTGTGGTAGCAAGCAGCATAGCTATTCTGTCCCTCCTTTGCTTAAGTATAAGGACTGTTTGTTGTTGTTCTTGTTTGTCCTTTGTTCTTGAAGAGGACCATGACATCAGGGATATGATGCCATGACATGCAAGTGAATTGGATTTAAGTGAGGCAGGGCTGTGCAAAGTCACCAGCCTCACGCTCTCTTCCGGAGCCATCTGGGTCCAGCGACAAGATAGAGATCAGGATGACTGGAGATGGCCCTGGATGCAGTGGGAGATGTTGGCCTTTTTAAATTAAGGTTTTTAACAGGTCTCAGTTTGACTGAGGCAGTGGCCATTCAGTGATTAAGTCTAGGTAAGAAATGAGCCAAAAAAAGACTTCTTTACCTCCTAGTTAAAAATAAATCAGTGTGGTTGGGGAAGACCCTCAGAGTTTCTGGCCAAAGCAGAGGCAATCGCTATTTACATTCACTCTGAGCCAGTCGGGGCTTGTACTGACTGCCTAAATCAGGCCTGCAGAACAGATGGGCAGTTTAAGGCCCTGGCCACTTCCAGCGAGCCAAAGGATCACTTATACTTATAAAGGATATTTTCTTGGACTCTGGAAATCTTTTAATGTGCAAGCTGTCCAAGGGTACAACCTGAGGGCCACAAGTTGTACAGGCCTGGCCTAAATCAAAGAAATTTTAGAATAGACAGAAAAAGAAGAGCATTAATGGAGAGAATGAAGGGAAAATAATTTGGGAGGAAAAATGCAGAAAATGAAAAAAAATTGAATGGGAGGAGAAGTGGGATTTTAATTAACTACCTGAGAGAGAAAAAGAGGGGAAGAATTAGATAACTAGATAAAAGGAAAGAAAAGAACCAATGCAGTAAGCAAAACTACAGAAAAGGGTATCAAATGGAGAATGTGGGGCATGAGGGTGAAGGGAAGAGAGCCTATGGGAATAAGGTTGCCTTAAAGTAAGTAGATTATGCACCCGTCTGGGAAAGTGGAAAGATCGCTGGACTCAACATCAGACAGTGTTTGTCTACACCTTATTACCCATGTGACCTACAGTGAGAGACAACATAATTTAGTAGGGAAAGCACTGCATTGGGAGTCAAAGGACCTGGGCTCGAATTCTACCTTTTCTTCTTCCTCCTTGTGTGACCTTGGGCAAGTGTCTTAACCTCTCTGGGCCTCAGTTTCTTCACCTGTAAAATGAAGATATTGTATTAAATGATCCACTATGGTCTCTCCCTGCTCTAAAATCTGTGATCCTGTGATCTTAAGTCACTTCTTACTTGTGGATCTGTTTCCTAAACTGTAAAATAGGAGGAAGGATTAAATGGTGTTAAACTTTAAGTCCTCTGTTGCCCTCCAAACCTGATTTTCTCGCCTCCCACTAAGCACTGGGCCAGGGGTGGGGAACTTGCAGCCTCAAGGCCACAGATAGCCCTCTAGGCCCTCAAGTGCAGCCCTTTGACTGAATCCAAACTTTACAGAACAAATCCCCTTAATAAAGGGGATTTGTTCTGTAAAATTTGGACTCAGAAAAAAGGCCACACCCAAGGACCTAGAAGGCCACATGTAGCCTCAAAGTAGCAGGTTCCTCACCTCTGCTCTAGGCAAACACATACGCCCTTGACTATGTCCCCTTTTCACTCAGTGTCTCAGACCAAGACGGACATCCAGCTGGTCAAATGATCTACTGTCTGCAGCCATGCCTTATTTTACTGTTCCTAAGGCTGCTGCTGTTGTCGCTGAATTTTAAATGGTGTAGACAAGTGACTGAGACATCCCTGAAAGGGAATTGTTTTAGTGCCTTTTTCTAGAACTTTCATGAATGAAGTTATTAAAATTCTAGGTGATTTCCATTGAAAAGGGAGAATTGCGGAAGGAATTAGATACTCCACATAGAGTCCATCATGCAAGTTACCAGTTTTGTAGGGGAATTCAGTGTTTCAACAGAGAAACAACGGACTACAGGACAATGCAGCAGAAGGGACATTGGACAGGAGAGTTAATGAACGTGTTTCTGTGACCTTGAGCAAATGCCTTCCTTTCTTTAGGGACTTTTGTTTCCTCCTCTTTAAAATAAAGTTCTTTTTTTTTTCTCCTTAAACATTAATATGGACATCTGTTTTGCTCATCTGTTTTTGAAATGAGTTTTATTTTTCTTGCCTTCTCAACAAGTGGGGGAGGAGAAAGGGAGAGAGAGAAGATTTGGAACTGAACATAAAATAAAACTGAATTTAAAAAAACAAAAGGAGTTGGCCTTAGATGGTCCTTAAGCTCATTTAAAGCACTGTAACACTAAGAAAAATATTTTTTTTTTGGAGGAAGGGAGTTGACTTCAAGCCCTCTTTAAGTCACCTCTGCAACCTATTGTCTCTCCACCTATTCTTTTTCCTCTAATAAGGCTTTTTGGATGCCAAGAAAAATCAACTGATGTTATCAAGAAGTGGGTGTGTGGTGTGTGTGTGTGTGTGTGTGTGTGTGTGTGTGTGTGTGTGTGTGTGTGTGTGTGTGTGTTTAAGATACCAAACACCCATGTTCTGGGTGATTGGAGGGTAGATGTTGTTTAGTCATCTCAGTCGTGCCAGACTCTTTATGTCCCCATTTGGGGATTTTTTGGCAGAGTTACTGGAGTGGTTTGCCATTTCCTTCTTCATCTCCTTTTAGAGATGAGGAAACTGAGGCAAACAGTGTTAAGGGACTTGCCTAGGGTCACACAGCTATTAAGTATCTGAGGCCAGATTTGAACTCACATTCAAATTTTAAGATACTGAAATATTTAAGATACCAAATGTCCAAGTTCTTGGGGACTGGAGGGCAGATAGCCAACCATAATCAGCGTCACGTTAGCCCAGGGTTCCTGGGGGTTCTATACATCTCTTCCCTATTGCTCATCTAAGAGTACCTTTCTTGCCATTTGTCCTGAGTATAGTTTATGATACTTGTCCCAGATGTAAAAAGTCTTACTTTTAGTTGAGGGGGGAAGGAGGTAAAGTAAAAGGCACTGTATGGCAGTAAATAGGACAATGAACTGGGAGTTAGAGAATATCCCTGGTTTGAATCCTGGCTCTGCCATTCTCCACCTACATGACCTTGGGCAAATCATTTAACCTCTTTGGACCTCATTTTTCTTACCTGTAAGATTGAAAAAGTCAAATTAGTTGAGCCCTGAGATCCCTTCTCAATCTAAAAATCAGTGATTCTACAAAGAAATGGCTTTGACAAGAATGAATGAATGAAAAAAAAATAGACAGGATTTGATGTCAGAGGATCTAAATTCAGATTCTGACTCTACTCCTTGCTTCCTGTGTGAACATGGACAATTCTAAGGGGGAATCCAAGATGAAGCCTCTAAGATCCATTCCAGTTCTAAAAATCTGTGATTCTACAAAGAAATGACTTCAAGGTACACTCTAAAGGGAATGATAGACAGTGAAGAGATGTGAGAAGTGATGTATTTTTTCTTGTGTTTCCTTATTGTAAAGACTTCGATTTCTCTACCGTCTGTTGTGGTTGACTCTATAATCAGAACACCTGGGTTCAAATCCCATATCTGACTCTTACCATCTGTGAGATCTTGGGCAAATCATTTAACTTCCCTGTGCCTCAATATTCTCTTCTGAAAAATGAAGGGGTTGGACCTGATGGCCTGTAGGTTCCCTTCCAGCTCTAACTCTATGTTCTGATGAGCCAGGCTATGACTACGGAGAGGGAAAGGAGAGTCAAAGATGATCCCAAGATTTTTAGCCTGCATGACTGGAAAATTAGTAGTGCTGTTAAAAAAAATGAGGAAGTCAGGAGAAGAAGCTGATTTGGCTGGGAGGGGAGTGGAGAGGATGAATTTTGTTTAAAATACTTTGAGTTAATCAAGTAAAATATCTAATAAACACCCGAAGATGGGGTACTAGAGCTGAGATCCTTAACTTTTTTTTGTATCGTGGACATCGTGGACCCCTTTGTCCACAGACTTTTTTAAATTGTAAAATTCTGACACGTCTTGCTAAGAGGGAGCATGTTACTCTCCCGCCTGATATCATTAAAATCTTCCATGAGAAGAACAAAAGATTGATACATTTTTCAGAAACATGTTTATATCTTTTACATAGTATTTTACTAAGTTAGACAGTGGAATGGAGATAGAATTTCCCTGGGGATTTTTATAGTATTTTACTGTAACTTTTTATTTCCAACTTAATTTAATTACTCAACCTCTTTGAGACCACCTACCCACTAAACATGTTCACTTTCTTCAGAAATCCCACTAGGTCATGTGTTTCTGGGAAAGAATTACAAAGCAGTTTCACATAGGAAAGTCAGATAATGCTTTTTTTTTTCATTAATGATGGTTCTGGGTTTTTTGTTTTGTTTTGGTTTGGTTTTTGTTTTATATGTATTGACCTTGGAGTCACAAAACTTGAGTCAAAATCCTGGCTTGATTACTTACTGCCCTTGCCCTCCAAGTCACTTTAGCCTGTCTAGGTCTTAGTTTCTTCACATAAAACAAGTTTGATAGAGTCCTTCCTCAATTTTTGAGAATAATTTGCATAGTGTAAAATAGATAATCATTGTTTTTTTTTCAAAATTTGATAGAATTATCCTGTAAATTTATCTAGACCAGAACTCTATTTTTGATAGTTTCTTTACAGCTAGTTCAATTTCCTCTTATGAGATTAAATTAAGATCTCTATTCATACTCTATTAATTTGGCTATTTTAATAGTCATACAGCCAATGTAATTTTATGTTTTTGTAGCTAATCCTCTATTTCATTTGAATTCTCAGATTTGTTGGTATACAACTGTGTTTAATATGTTCTGATAATCCCATTGTTTCTTCTTTGTGCTTTGCCTATGTTCAATTTTTACTTTTGCTTATTTTATTTTCATTCCTATTCTTGTTAGTCAGGTTACCTTAAAGTTACCAAGTTTTTAGATTTTCGAAGAATTAACTTTTAATTTTATTAGTTCTATGGTCTGATCTTTTTTTAGTTTCTGATTTACTTATTTCTCCTTTAATTTTCAAGATTTCTTCTTCTGTGCTTACTTTGTTCTGTAAAAATTTGTTAGTTATCTAATTTTAACATATTTAACATATTTAGTTTACTTATCTTTTTTTTTCTATTTTGTGAATGTATGTTTTTAGGAATATGATTTTTCCCCTGAGGACTGCTTTAGCTGTATCCCAGGAATTTAGGTATGTTGCTTCATAATTATCATTACATTTCATTTAGCTATTAATTTAAAATTTTTTTTTGACTCATTGTTTAGGCAAGGGTGGCGAACCTGTGGCCTCGAGGCCACGGGTTTTCCACCACTGGTTTAGGCTTTCCTTATTAAATTTCTATGTCAATGTCTTTTGCTTGTGTGTTCTGTGTTAATTGTTATTTTCATGTCATTTTGCTCTGTAAAAATAGTATATATTATTTAAGGTTTCTTACATTTATTTGCAACTTTTCTATCCTTTAATGTATGGTATGTATTTCTAATGGTGCCATGTGGTACTGAAGAATATATTTCTACAGCTCTATGGAATAGAGCTCTGTTTATAACTTTCACTAAAGTAACTTCATTTCATTTACCATGTATATGTATGTGTGTATGTATATGTATATGTATATGCGTATATGTTCTTGGTCAAAAGATGCCATACATCTTTTAGCTCTAAATTCTCCAACAATTCATTCAATTCTCTATTTTTCTTTTTGTTTATTTAGCTTTGAGGGAATAAAAGTAAGGTCTACTATTATTCTTGTGTTGCTATGTATTTTGCAGCTCAGTTGAATTTTCCTCTATTAATAGAGATGCTATGCCATTTAATGCATACATATTTAATATTGATTCTAACTCATTGTCGATGGTTTATTTAAGCACAATGTAAATTACTTGTGAATTTTTGTTTTTGCTTTATCTGACAGCATAATTGGAATTCTTGCTTTTTTGTATTCATCTGTTGAACAGTAAATTATGTTTCAGTGTCCTCCCTCCTTTATTTTCTTACTTTTTTTCTTTCCTTCCTTCCTTCTTTTCTTTCTTTCTCTCTTTTCCTCCTTGATTTTCCCTTTCAGTTAAGTGCATATTTCAAAATCTCCTTGTGTTTCTTCATTTCAGTTTCTTATGTTTGTTAATTTTTTCTGCACCTTTTTCTAATTTTTTTTGCTTTGTTCTCTTAATTTTTCTCCTTTCATTAAAAAGAAAACAAAAGAAATTAAAGAATAAAAGAGTAATTGGAGCACTTAAAAAACACACAGAATAGGATAGAAAGGAAGCCCAGAAAAATCCCAAAGAAGTTTTGACAGTTACATGTTGAATTTATTATATATTTAAAAAGAAAAGCAAGCTCTATATAATAGTTTCCCAATTTCATGTGTAGTCCTCTTTTTCAGTTCTTCTATATGTATAGAAATTCCCATTTTATTCTTTTATTTATATGTTAAGCAAATTTAACAAAGCAACGAATAACTTACTTACTAAATAGTATGATCATTTCCATACATGTGCAGAAGATGAAATGTATTGCTTATGAAACTACAAACCTTTGTTATGTTCATCTTGCTTGTGAAGAGCTTTTAATGCCAAAGAGAGAAATTTCTACTTGATTCTGTAAATAATAGGTTGCCAATGGAGTTGAGTGAGCAGTGAAGTAGCATGTTCAATCAAATCTGTGCTTAGGCATATCACTTTGGCATGTGTGTGGAGAATGATTTGTCATGCAGTGAGATTTGAGGCAGGAAGGCCAATTAGAAGGCTATTGCAATCCAAGTGACAGGTAATAAAAAGCCTGAACTAGAATTGTGGCATAGAGGTGTTGCTACAGGTGCTGAGAGCCCCAAAATGCAAGGAGTAAAGAGTGTGAGTCTGCCTCAAAAGAATTCAGCCACTCAAGCCTTCTTTCAGTCACAGACAAGGTTTATTGTGTTGCTAATAGAAGTGGGCAAGATTTTAAGAATGTGTGCATTTAGTAGGGACAAAACTGACCTTTTTATAGGGAAAAAAGATTGTGAAAAGATTTAGATGGGATTAAGGAGTGGCAAATAGTGGAGGTAACAGAGAAAGGGTCTAGTTGGGATTAAGAGTGGGAATTAGCCTGGAATGGTATGGAGGTAACAGACTAAGAAGGTCTGGGCTGGGTCAGAGGTAACAGAGAATTGAAGGTTGGGCTAGGTAAGGGCCACAATGAAAGGACGATTGAAAAGATTATTGAGTATCTAGGTGGGGATGTGTGGGAAGGTTCAGGAGCAGGGTTGCATTTTTGGGGTCCAGATCCCATACCCCATCAGAGAAAGTTTTCTTACCCAAGAGTACCTAATACCTGGTCAAGTCCCAAACCTTATTCTTTTCCACAATTTATGTTCCAATTAAACTGGACCATCAGCTGTTTAAAAAATGATACGCAATCTCCTGCCTCAATGTATTCTCCTTTTGAAAAAAAAAATTTTTTCTGAATTTAACCAAAACCAAATAAAATTTGATGCATTTGGAGCATTTCCATAAACTTGCTCCACAAAGATTCAGTTTTTATGTCTGGAAGTTGGTTGAAATACACGCTTTGGGATCTGAGTGTAGCTACTACAGGGGGGCATTCATTTTCAGAAATTTAGAAAAGTTGTCTTAATTTCCTCTATTTTTATTAACAATAACAATACAGGTAGCACTGTGAATAGAACGATGGAGTTTTCCTGAAATCAGGAAGACTTGCATTCCAGTTTGGCTTCAGACACTCACTAGTTGTTTGACCCTGGGTAAGTGAATTAATCTCTGTCTGCCTCAGTTCCCTCATTCCCTCCCTCCCTGATTAATAGCACCTTCCTCTCAGGGTGACTGTGAGGATCAAAGGAAATAGTATGTATAAAATGCTTTGTAAACCTTAAAGCATTACATAAATGCTAACTATTAATATTATTATTATCATTAACCACAGTAGTACTGAGATTTACTTTCTGGCAAAGAGTCTCTTCTGCAAAAGTAAGAAATCTTTTTTTTTTTTTGAGTTGGCTTCAGTTCTCTAGTAGTTAAGAGCTGGTTTTTAATCTGCTTTGCAGTTAAAGAATGTGAGGGAGGGAACTGGGAAGTCTGTAATGTTGTTTCTCCAAAGTTACATAGCAAGTAAGTGACTTCAGACCTTTGCCTTACATACTTGCCTTTCCTGCTTATGGGTCCAAAATAAATGACACAACTTGATGCTTCCATTGAATAAATGTGAAAAAGCTGGGTTATTTACATAAGGCCCAGAAAAGGATTCTGACACACATTATGTTCATTTGGACACACAAGAAAGAAATTCCCACTTTCAGAGACCCAGATTAAACCAAATTCCCACTTAAAGAAATTCCCACTTTCAGAGACCCAGATTAAACCAAATAGCCTGTTTGTTTGTTGGGATTGTGTGTGTGTGTGTGTGTGTGTGTGTGTGTGTGTAATGCTTTTAATGCTTCAAAACCTCAATGATCTGTGAGATTCCTATATCAACATAAATCAAACGCCTTTGACTTACACAGAGGACGCAGGCTCTGGGTTCCAATCTTACATCTGGTGCTTCGGCTTGGACAAGTCGCTTGGCTTCCTTGGGTCTCTGTTTCCTTATCTGTAAAATGAGAGGGTTGAACTAGATGACCTCTGAGATCTCTTCCTGCTCTAGATCTGAGATCTTAATACTTCATAAATGGTCTTTGAGACCATCTAATAATGAATCTCACTGAATTTAATTAAACTGCTTCTGAGACAACAGGCATAGAGTCGTTCACTGGGTGTATGAACTGAAACCTTTCCAATTTGTTAAGAACAGACCATAGGATCATAAATCTAAAGTGAGACCACCTGATCCAGCTCCCTTCTTTAACTATTAAGGAAACTGAGGCTCAGGAAGGTGGAATTTGAATCTGGATCCTGAGTTCAGAAATCTTCCCACTGTACCATAGTAATGCATCATCTCACCAAAAACAAACAAAAAAAAAAAAGTCCCACCAAAAACAAAAACAAAAAAAGCTCAATCCCCCAAACCCTTATACAACAAGCCAACTGCAGGTTTGGTTCCAGGAAAGTGAATAACTGAGGTTCAAGATATTCTGTAGGACCACACTCTCCAAACTGTAGGTCATGAATAACCCTCTCCCAACCCCCAACCCCAGCCCTTATGTTTACCTTTAGTAGTTTAATAATGCAATGATAGGAACAAAGGAAAAATTTGGTTGCCTGGAGAAGTTCATCAGCATTGTACGTCAATTTCATGATGGCACACTTGCCGAGGTTCTGGATACTGGACAATGTTCTAGGGCTTTCCCAGTCACCAGTGGAGTGAAACAAGGCTGTGTGCTTGCTCCCATGCTTTTTAGCATGATGTTTTCAGTCTTGTTGTCAAATGTTTTCAATAAGGATGAACATGGAGCAAGGTCAGGTACCTCACTAATGGTAAATTCTTCAACTTGAAAAGGCTACAAGCCAAGACCAAAGTGGAAGAAGTGTTGGTGCATGATTTTATATTTGTTGATGATTGTGCACTCACTGCAGCCCCTGAAGCTGAGATACAACAAAAATATGGATCAATTCTCTGCTGCTTGTGCTAATTTTGGCCTAACAATTAACACCAAGATAACACAGGTGCTCCATCAGCTACCACCACACCATCCATCCATGGAACTATCAGTTACAGCAAATGGAGAAGTTTTGAATGCTGTGGATAAGTTCACTCACCTTGGTAGTACTTCCTAGGGATTTACATGTTGATAATGAGGTTGACACATGCATTGCCAGAGCTAGCTCAGTGTTTAGGAGGCTGTGAAGTAAAGTATGGGAGAGAAGAGGTATCAGATTGACTACCAGACTGAAGGTCTACAGAGCCTTTGTGCTGACCTCATTGTTGTATGCCTGTGAAACCTGGACAGTCTACCAGCACCATGCCAGGAAACTGAATCACTTCCATTTGAATTGTCTTGGGAAGATTCTGAAGGTCATCTGGCAGGATAAGATACTAGACACTGAGGTCCTTTCTCAAGCTAAACTGCCAAGTATTCAAACTCTACTTCAGAGAATGCAACTCTGATGGGCTGGCCATGTTTGACTGCAAAATGTATGCTTTTCAAAAAAGACTATTTTATGAAGAACTCACACAGGGCAAACATTCACATGGTGGTCAGAAGAAGCGATACAAGGACACTCTCAAGGTCTCTCTTGAGAACTTTGGAACTGATTGCATGACATGGGAAACACTGGCACAGGACCGCCCAGCATGGCATGCCCTCATCAGAGAACATGCCGTGCTCTATGAGCAAAGCAGAGTTGAAATAGCTCAAAGGAAATGCAGGATGCGCAAATTTAGAGAAACCACCCTAAATGTTCACACGGATTATTTGTGCCCGACCTGTGGTAGAGCATTCCAAACTCGCATTGGTCTGATCAGCCACAGTCGGACACACTGAAACTTGACTAACATAGTGATGTCATTTTGGTCCTCTTCAAGAATGAAGGATGAAAACCCAACTGAACCAAATGCAGTGAGTTCAAAGCAAAGGTAATTTTAATTATAATATATAATAATATACATATATATAACATATATAATAATAAGTACAGTAATAACAAAATATTCTCACACATAAACCGTGGGAACACTCTTACTTGGTATGAACTATGCCGCACATGTTGCATCAGTGGGAAGAATGGTCACATACATAGAGCACACAGTCGGAGAGGCACCCATGAAGAAATGCCTATGGCTAAAGCAACTTATGTCTATAGCACTGTGGGAGTTCTTGTTTCCTTGCTCTTCTCTAAGGATCCTCAAGCTACCCCGCAGGCAGAATGTTTTTGCTGACTGTCATTGAGCCTGCTTTTCTCCACACCTCTCCTCCAGATTGCCAGGGCTAACTACCTTTTGAATCTATTACTGGCTGTCTTTCTCTGAGGCCAGGAGTCTCATTCTTCAAAGCTGTCTCCTTTTGACTTAATCAAGCCGATCTTGAGACAATAGGCATGGAGTCTTTCACTGGTCCTATAACTGAAGCCATTCCAACTTGGTAAGATCTTGAATAGATCATAGGATCATAAATCATAGGATAAGTAAATCATAATGATCATAGGATCATAAAGTGAGATGGGACCAGAGAGATCATCTGGTAATCCCTTGATTCTTTTCTGATCCTTGCTGGGTGTAGGGTCACCTACTGAGTGAACAACTCCTCTGCAAAGCCATGGCTGATGGGGGTGAGAGTAAGGAGAGAAATCCTTCCTCTTCCCCAGCATTCACACACACACACACACACACACACACACACACACACACGCACACACCTTTATTTGAACGTGAGAAAAAAGACAAAGAGTTATTCCCTTTTCAAGTTGAGTTCATTTTCCATCAGTGGCTCCCTTCTCTGAAGCCCCACATCCTATGCCTTAGAGCTTTCCTCCCTCAACACATTCCAAAGCTAGCAAGCTTTTTAAAAACCATTCAAAGGAAGGAGAGATAGAATTTGGAAGTCAAAACTTTAAAAAAATGTTAAAAAAATTGTTTTACCATGTTATTAGGGAAAAGTATGTTTGTGTGTGTGTGTGTGTGTGTGTATGTATATGGAGAGAGAGAGAGAGAAAGAGCCATTTGGGTATAGCCAATCTTCAGCTTGTCGATGGCAAGCTGCCCCTTAATTCCATTAGATAGAGCTTCACATCTTTTAAAGGCATAACAGTCAAAAAACATTCACTGCCATAAGTGGGAATTTTGTATTCACAGGACTCCAGAAATTACTAAGGAACATACAAAAATGAAAATAGGTGGAGGGGAAAGGCAGGGGAGAAGGCTCTTAGCTGGGAGCTTATGTATTTCCAAAGGAGAATCCCTTACTATGGTTGTAACCCAGCTAAACTCTGACTAAAATGTCTGCATAAACAAATGGAGTCATTTTCCTTGTGTGCTGAACTACTTCCATAAAAGAAAAAGACTTTAGTGGTGGATATTCAGAGAGCTGGAAAAGCCATTTAGCTAAAACTTGAAAAATGGGGAAACCAAATTTCTGCACATTTCAACAAAGGCAAATTAGCAAGTGAAATCCACTTGTTTTCCTGAAATCTGACAAGTTAAAAATGAATGGATGGAGGCTTCTTTTTAATCCCAATATTCAAGGAAAGAGTGATTTTCTGCAAAGTTACTGCAATCCCATGATTTCTGAGTTACAAAAGGGGGTGAGCCCATCTGTAAGCATTCTCCATATATCAGAGACAATTCTTAATACTCCCTAATCACTTCCCTTTTCTGCCATGTCTTTTGGAGAGCCTCCAAGAAATCTTACATCTGGCAGCCAATTTCAAAACATCAGAATGCATTTAACCTCTTTTTTTCACCCTGCCTAATACTAATAATTATAACTACCATTTCCATAGAGCTTTAAGGTTTGCAAAGCACTTCATTACTTTATTTCATTTGATTCTCCTGAAGAAGCTTGCCTTTGAGGTAAATGCTATTATCACCCCCATTTTACAGATGAAGAAACTGAGGAATACGGGAGCTAAGTGAAACTAGTGCATGTCTGAGGCATGATCTAAACTCAATTCTTCATGACTTCAAAATCCAATACTACATCCACAATTCTACCAAACTACCAATATGTCTCACAGAGATGCAACAAAGAAAATGGTGATGCATCAACATTAGTATCTCCCCATCTCCCAAATTACTGTTTAAAACTTTGTCTTTGTCTCAAAAAAGTAGGTTCAAATGAACAGTCAAGGGCCCTCCCTGCCCTCTTGAAACCTG